CACATTTTATGACAAATTAATGCAGAACACCATGAAATTCCAAAAGGTTCACATACTTTTTCTTGCAACTATACTTGTCATTCATGTTGTAGGGGCAAAAAAGCCACTTTTGCAAAAGGTGAAAGTGTTTTTCTCTCCCAAATTCAGGGGGATAAGTTCCTTCAGCTCCATGCAACTCAGAGAGCCTGAGTGTCTAGACAACAGTTTGGGGGCTCATCCGAGATGAAATCCTTTCTCTGAAAGATGTAGTATTCCACAATAGGCTGGCCTTATATCAGTTATTAGTAGAGCATAGGGAGTCTGTATACGTTAATCAACACTGTCTGCATGTTTCATGAAGGCTTAATTACCCAACAACAGAAGTTACTTGAATAGTTGCCTCTCTAACCAGGGACAGGGAACATTTTCAAGAAACATTGATTACTTAGCATTATTGTTATTACTCTGGTATTTCTGGTATTTCAATGTTGTCTTATGCAATATATTCCTTCTTTATATTTGCCTGCCACCCAATGCTGCAACTACTCTTTAAAATCTGCTCCACAACACATTGCAACCATAGGTTCCTTCAGCTCCACGCAACTCGAGGTCCCTGAGTTTCTAGGCAACGCCCACAGACCATTCATTACAGTCTGGGTCACTGTTTGCCTGTGCAACTCAACATCTGAGCTGGAGACCCTTTTATTCTCCAGGCACATCAGCAACATGATGCTCGCCCCATTTGCCGGCTCCCAGTTTCTGGGCCGTGGAGGCGACGCAAGAGGAAAACTGGAAGCGCTTGGCCTAAGCCTGGCTGACTGGAGTGGGCTGGCCGGACAAAGGCAGCCATTATGATGGATGCTGGTTGCCATGGCACTGGCCGGGCTGTTGCTCCATCAAACAGCCCACTCACAAGACGGGGCCAAAATCCCTCCGGACTCACTTCTGAGTAAGTGTGCCCAGGATGCCAGTTGCCTTTGGCACTCAAATGGGTGAGTAGGCCAGCAAAACTGGTATCCAGGTGTATGGCCTCTCCAGGGCAGCGGGCTGAGGAAGAAGCCTGAGGTAACAGGCCGTAACTGGGTTGGCAGACATGGGGAGGTTGGCTGGAGGGGTGATGTCTCGGGACCGTGATGGGGCTGGTTTGTTGCAAAAATGGTGACGGCCGCCCTCCTCGATCTGGCTGGTGCAGGTTGAAGGGATGCTGATGCAAAACAGGCTGCGAGGACCAGAGCTTCGATGCTTCGCAGCCGCCTGGCCACTGTGGCAGCAGCTCACTTTGTGAAGTGATACCTGGATGAAGAGGAACTGACCCCAGAGGCCTATGGTGAGAAATCTGGATTGACCCTAAGAGGATAGGAGGAGGGGATTATAGTTGGATAGTTGCCATAGTAACAGAATAGCCGCATTAGACCTTGTTACCTATTCAGCCTTTCGCCACGCCCCCACAAAGGGCAAGCTTGGTACAGCTCAGCACTAGATCAGGCTCCGCCCATCTGCCTCTCTTTGAAATTCAAGGCTCCTTGAATTGTTACTGGCTAGTTTATGCGTCAATCACGACTGGGCCGGCCTTAATCCAAGGCTACGTCCAGTCGCCGCGCGCTAAGCGTTTTAAAGAGTGGGTTCCAAGGAACGTCAAGACCTTTTTTCTCGTTCTGCCCCAACCTTTCGGTCATTTTGTTCCTTGAGAGGCTGGCGTTTCTGTCAGTCAGGATATGCCTCTTGATTTATCAGTCATATGACCATGTTATTTTGTTCAGGGAACGAAGGTGGGGGGAAAGTAAGGGATTTTAACCAATAACATAACTGTGTATTCGACGCCCAAATAACGCAACCAATCAAAAAAGTTTTACGGGCCTGCACTGAATTGAAGGCGGGACTAACTCGAACGTACACAATCAGCTTTGCCAGGTGCCACAAATGATTACCCTTGCCACCAATGAAATGTCGACAGAGCGTGAAAGACGGCGAGAAAGACCAATTGCTAAACAGCGGGCGTTTACATCCCCCCCGTAGTTTAAGTGAGGGCGGAAGATGGCGGCGGCCGGGACAGGTCCAGGGGTCCCAGATGGGGAACCGGAGGGGTCAAACCGCGATCGCAGTGCTTTTGAATGCAACATCTGCCTGGAGCCTGCCAGAGAAGCTGTCATCGGCCTCTGCGGCCACCTGTACTGGTGAGCGAGGGAAAGGGTACAGAGAGGTGTGGTACTGGGACGGGGAGAACCAGGAGGGTGATTTAATATATATGTATATGTATATGCATATGCATATGTATGTATATATGTATATAAATAAAAATAATCTGCACCAATGGGCAGAAGGCTGGGCAGGCTGAAATCCAACAGGTGAACCTGCGCTTTTTTCTTTTTCTTTTTGGCTTTATTTCCGTACTCGTGAAAGAAGCTCCACCTGCCTTTGTGGTTGCTCGGTTGGTCCTGAAAACAGAGGAGTGGGATCACGTTTGGGGTGTAACTGAAGTCTAAGAGAAGGGCAGGTATACCAGAAGACAGGCAGTGTGGCTTAGTGGTTAGAGAGCAGTCTTTAGGAGCTGCCAATCGCATCATCTCCAGCCACTGGGGCTCTTGGGTGGTCCCAGTGGTCTGGAAGGAGGGTCACTGGAGGACCCAAAGCCCACCACTAACTCACAGTATTGTCAAGCTGGCTTCACATGAGATATTAAGCTAGGCTAAATTGTGTAGCTTGTGGCCTTGCAAGTGGGGTGAAACCCCCCTCGCCCCCCAGCCTATACTTTGATTTATATGCTGGGGTATAACCTGTTGCAGAAACCCAGCAATTGTGTTCTGTTCACTTAGATTTATCATTGATTTTATTTATCACATTTACTGCTTATTAAATTTGTATAGCCGCCCATCTCACAAGTATGACCTGTTGGATGTGGTAGATTTCTCTGTGCCCTTTGAAGTTCTGATTCAGTATGTAATTTCTCTTCATGTTGGTTTGATCCAGATTTCTTTAAAAGGTCTTGTACTTTTTCTTCTCTTTTTCCAGCTGGCCTTGTCTTCACCAGGTGAGTTGCTCTGTTACTGTTACTCTGTACTGTTACAGTCTGTTGCACTGACTGTAAGGTTGGCTGGAGTTGAAATGCCTCAGTCAGCCTTCCCCATCTTGTCTCTTCCAGATATACTAACGCCCGCAGCTTTCCAGAATTCTTAGCCAGCACGGCTACTGGTTGGGCTAGCTGGGGATTATGGGAGAGGTTGCCTGAAATTATTTTGCCTTGGTGTCATCCAAGGCTGGGTTAGTGTAGGACAAGTCTTGTGTTCCTGGGCCAAATTAATCTGTGGAGGGAATATGCCAATAGCTGATGGAACAGCTAATCAAGAGCTCTTCCTGCCTTACAGATTAGTAAACATCATGCCTCCTATGAGAGGCTGAAGGACTTTTCTGTAACTGGTCAGTGCGATGGTTTCCTGTGTGATCAAGAGGGTATACCTATAAACAGTGCTGAAGAAGGTGAAGAGTCGATGAAGGTTATCTCTGCTTGCTCTCGCTTTTAACTCTTGTGCAGGCATTTGACTGACTGCTCTGGTGGATGGAACCATGGGCCAAAGAGACCTTTGGACTCTCTTAGTAAAGCATTTATTATCAGAAAAGCTGCCCTTGAACTGAATCTCTCCTCAGCTCAAGTATGGTTGGGCCAAGTTTCTTAAATAATTTCAGAAATTATTTTGAGATGAGGAGGAAGACAATAAGCAGTTAAAATTTAATCAGTAGTTGTTTTCAGGTTAATGTTTTTGAAATAACAACAAAACCAAGAAAAGCAAATCTAAAATCTCACTGTTCCAACACTGAAAAGAGCTGGCTGTAAACTTTCAAAACAATTGTATATGCTAACTTTTCCCTGAATAGTCCTAGAAATGCTTTGTGTCTTCTGCAACCGAGTAGTAATTGATAAGTTAACCTAAACTCTCTTTGTGCTCCTCAAAATTGGTTTGATCTTTCTATCCTCTTCCATTGTATTTTCTTCTAGGGCCTATCTTAGGTCCCTGGTGTGGAAACCAATGGAAAGAACTTAGGGAAAGCAGCAGTGTACCTGTTTCACAGCACTGGAATTATTTGTTTAGTTGTTAGATTATAATGTGGGTGTTTTTCTCCCACAAGAATCCTGTGAAATAAGTCAGGCTGGAGGTGCCTGATCCATAGACCCCTGGAGAGCTTCTGTGTCTGAACAGAGACCAGAATCTGGGTGTCCTCGCTTCTAGTCTAACATATTCACCTTTGTCCCACCCTGGCTCTTGAGCTGAGAGGGAGAAACTAATCCAGACTGAGGTGAGATTACAATCTGGGTCTCCCTGCTCCTAGTCCAGCCCTTTCAGTATTTCACACACTCAATATTTTTACTTCATATGTCTCAGACATGGCAATGAAATATGTCCAAGGTCTGAGCTGAGAGGGAGATTATTTTTGTGTGTGCCTAGGTTGGGTGTAAATAATTATTTTGGTCCATATAGAGTTTCAGAGCCTGCGATGTATATAGTCCTAAGGTGGGTGCCATGGCAGGTAGAACCAGTCACAAAACCCCCGGTAATCAAAAGCAATCTACCGGTACCTCTCCCAGATACTCTCTCCACAGACATTTGTGAAGCCCCAAATCATTGCTGCAAATAAATACAAAGCTCCAACCTGATGATTTACATCTCAGCTTGCCAGCTTCTTATTTAATGGACAGCATTTTTTAAATGAAAAGCCAGTTGGGACAGGAAACTTGGCAGACCCCACAGGTGCCCATGTTGCCTTCTTCTAATGTAAATATGTACATATTTGGAAGTGGCCCCAAAGATTCCTAATGTACAGTTGTTCTACTTCCCTTCAGTGGCTAGAAACGCGTCCTGAGCGTCAGGAATGTCCTGTGTGCAAGGCGGGCATCAGCCGGGATAAAGTCATCCCTCTCTATGGGCGGGGCAGCTCTGCTCAACAGGATCCCAGGTAAAGAATTCCCTTCTTTGCTGGAGTTGGAGTAGCCCTCCAGTTCATTCTGGGGTGCAGCAGTACCCTCTTTCTGCTATTTCCTCTCTCTTCAGACCAGGAGCGGGACACAGTACAATCCCAGAGCTGCATGCAATTCTCCCAGAGCCTTGAGTGGGCTTCCCACGCCTGCCTATGTTTGCTGTTAAATTTTAATGTGGCAAAGGGGAATACTTAACACTGTACCAGTGTTTCCCAACCTTGGCACCTTTAAGATGCATGGACTTCAGTTCCTAGAATTCCCCAGCCAGCCATGCTGGCTGGGGAATTCTAGAAATTGAAGTCCACGCATCTTAAAGGTGCCAAGGTTGGGAAACACTGCATTATACTAAATTCAAGGGTTAATTTCATTCCATTTAAATAATTTAAGTTAAGTTAATTTCAATTCATGACAACTGACTTTAAATTTCATCTTTAATTTGATCACTTTTAATCTCTATCCTGCTCCTGCCTACTTTATGCCTCTCAGCCCTGACAAAATAATTCCCCTTTGCTGTAAGCTGCTATCCCCCTCACTCTCTGTAATGTAAGTGGTTTCTGAAGCCTTCTCTATTCGAAGAAAAGGGAAGGCTGGCAGCTACCTACTGTGCAGATCATGTCCAGTTATTTCCTGCCAGCAACTCAGAGGCAGAAACTCAGCCCAGCAGGAGGCAGTTTGAGCCCGAGGGAAAAATGATGCAGCTTGGGTACTCATACAACAATGGGATTGTAAGGTTTTTGTCCGGCAACGGAGTGGATAACTATAATGGGTCTGCCCTTGAAGACTACCTGGAAACTGCAACTGGTGCAAAATGAAGTGGCCTGCACTGTAACTATATCGTCATGGAGCACCAATGTTAATTGTTTTAATTCTTTTTATGGATTTTGTAAGCCAATCAGAGTCTTTTGGAGTGGGCAGCTTTATTAAATTGAATAAATTAAAATTAAAATTATATTGCAAAAGAAGAAACGGCCACTGGTTTGTTTCTCGGTGCAAGTCAAGGTGCTGGTGGCTCCCTTTAAAATCCTATGTGGTTTGGGCCCCGGCAAGACAGATTACTTGAAATAAAATCTGCCAGTAGAGAGTGCTGACCAAGAAACTTGATGAGAGGGGACTTGCAAGCAAGTATTCTCTGCAGGAACTTCCCTCCTGGGGAATGTCCTCCTACCAGATATAAGATCCATCCTCTCACTTTTAGTATTTAGGAAACATGTTTTTTCCAACATGCATCCGGGGACTAAGATATGAGAAGGTAAAGTTCCTGAGTTGGGGATGAAAGTTCTTGTTGATTGATGATAGTACTATGGTTTTATAATGATGACTATTGATTGTATTTTTATAGCTTGATAAAATTAATACTCTTTCTCTGATTATTGTATTCTGTTTTGCTGCTTAGACAAAATGATTGAAATGACATTAAAGCATTGATAGTAAATAAAGCAATGGTCAGGACTTCTGGTTGCCCTAGATGCTTTGCATAACATCAAAAACTGCTCTGATTTCTCTTAAGTGTGAATGCCCACGGTGAGTGGGGAGGAGGTGAGCAGCCATCAGATTGGGAGTTTATATCCTGGGAAAATATCCCTGTTGAGGAAGATGACTCTCAGGTGCTGGCGCTATGGCAGGCCCCAATAATATTCATGGGGACCCTCTGTTCTAGCCCCAAATGAAAGAAAAAAAATCAATATAAAGAATATAGGCTTTGGCTTAATATCTACAGGTGAAACTCGAAAAATTAGAATATCGTGCAAATATTCATTTATGTCAGTACGGCAACTCAAAAGGTGAAACCAATATATGAGATAGACGCATTAC